ACAAAAACCACACCAGGCATGGATAGATCATTCATTTCAATCCAATCCAATTCAACTTTATTTTTATTACATTGTCTCAAAACGCTTTAAATTATCCCCACCCAGAGCCCCCAATGAGCAAGCCAGACGTGACAGTGGCAAGATAAAACTTCCTAGTAGGAAGAAACCTTGGGAGGAACCAGACCCAAAGGGGGAGCCCATCCTCCAGGGGGCAGCAGAGGAAGCCCTAACCCTAACCAGACCCAAAGGGGGAGCCCGTCCTCCAGGGGGCAGCAGAGGAAGCCCTAACCCTAACCAGACCCAAAGGGGAAGCCCATCCTCCAGGGGGCAGCAGAGGAACCTGATTTAAATGCTCCAAGTGGCTAAAGTCGGGCTGTAAATGTGGAAGGTCCAATGATGTTAGGGATGCTGATGTCAAGGCAGGCAGGTGCTGCTTTTGAAGACAGGATCAAATCGAACCCTGATTAAGGAATAATCAGCCATTTGGATACTTTGGTTTATTTGGACCAGACAAGACATAAAATAATTTAAAAACTGATTATTGTAGATATTTATATGCAGCGTGGAAAAGATGCATTCAGCCTACTTTTTGAAATACATTCAGGAGCTCTCAGGTTTTCTGGGAGAGAGTTGCAGAGTTTGGGACTGTAGTGACTAAAAGCTAAAAGTTTCCCCCACAATTTACTGCATGTAATTAAACGAATATGCATTCATATGAGAAGCCAGAGGAGTGATAAAATCATACAGAAAGTCATAAGGAAGCTCACAAGAGTATACTGTGAGATCAGGAGTATACTGTGAGATCAGGAGTATCATTCCAGCATCAGAAAGATGCTGTGGAAGACAGGAGGTCCACAGCAGAGTAGAGCGAGAGTTGCGGCTGCTCTCACCCCCATGCAGGAACCACAGAGTCTGCAAAGACAAGCAGACATCCCTCATGTTTCGGGGTACAGGGGTGACTGGCCAGTGGTTGGAGCGTGATTAACACCGACAGTTTGGTTTTGCTCCCCTCTGTCTGCAGTCCAGCTGCTGGGCGTCGGCCAGGATTACCACTGGAGGCACTGGCTGTTACATAATTCGCAGCAACAAATGATAGATACCCGTTCATTTTTCAAAGATAAATTCACACAATTACGGTCTGAGAAGAGACACTCATGTGACATGCGGGGACTCCTCAGGTTACACCTTTTGTTATTCAGTACATCCATCCATCCATCCATCCATCCATCCATCCATCCATCAACTTTCTGTAACCACTTTCTGAGACCCTTTCTGTTCAGGGTCACTGGGGATCTGGAGCCTGTCCCAGAGGCTATGGGCACAAGGCAGGGAACAACCCAGGACGGGGCACCGTCCCATCGCAGGACACTCTCACATGCCAGTCACTAACTCACACACACACACACACACACACACACACACACACGCACGCACTTGTAGGGTAAACATATCTTTATGGGGACCGCTCACACACACACACACACACACACACTTAATTATTCAGTTTTTATATAGCGCCTTTAACAACAGAGTCATCCCAAGTTGCTTTACATGGGTGTTACGACATCATTAAGACAGAATAATACGAAAACAGGGAAAAGGGAAGACAAAGAAATGAAAGAAAGAAATATAATATTTTCTGTATTTTCCTTCACCAAATAACATGCCAGGTGGTGCTGTGACGCCGCAGATTCAGAACGAACCCAAGATCTCTTTACCCTCACAATATGCTGTATGTAATTAAGTGATTATGCATTTATATGAGAGTGATTCACATGAGGACCAATCTCCAGACAGGCGCTCGCTGAACGTGGATGGAAAGATTGTTTAGAAATGACTCTTTACAAACATTATTTCAAAGGTTTTTTTTTTTGGTGTTGGGGGGGTGGTCATAGAAGAAATCAAGCTCTGATCTTCTTCCAGGACCTGTGCTTAACTAACTGGCAGGCCATCGCACTGGCTGACATTCGTGCCAGTGAACATGCACATCGAGACGCCTTAGAACGCTCAAATATTCAACGGCTACTTGTCAGGCCCACAGTACTGCTAGTAGTGTGTTTGTAATACTCGTGTATCCTATTGAGTAAGCTCGATTTCTTGGGTCAAACATGAAGCCCATCAAAGCTTCCCCCAAGCGGAAGCAAATCACTCTGTTGTGATTCAGATCACTAACAAAACCACAAGAAAGTAAGATGCATTTCGCTGGTGAGGCGTCACAAAGTGCCGGAGTCCCGTACACAGATCTCTGTTTGCCTCATATAAGGCGTGTGGTTTCCCAGCAGCTGCCTGATGACCTTGTTTACAAGAGCTGAAAATAAAATCCAGAATATTCTCAGGGAACAGAACAAACTGTTATTTAAAAAAATGCAAAACTCAAACAGCAGAGCTGTGCTCCTCCTCGTCTCCTGTTTGGCCATCTGCTGCACTCTTGCTTTACGTTAAAACGCTAAAAAGAGAGCAGCCGTCTGCGTGTAGCCCTGTGCTAATCATCTTCAGGAAGGCAAGGCTTTGCCGTCCGCTTTGTTTACTTAGCATCTTTAAGCTCGTTAAACAAATGGAACCGAATGTGGAGCACATTTTTCCAGAAAGTCTGCCCTCCAATCAAACGTCATTAACAAACCCATTAATTTAACTCTGTGGCCTCGCAAGATGGCCGTGGGTGGCTGCAATAAATCAAGTGGTATTTATCAAAATGTAAATTCAGCCTTTTTTATAATTGCAATACAAAAATCCAGACATGAGTAATTAGCTGACTGGCATGTGGAGGCATCAGTTCTGTACTTAACCAGCAGACTTCAGTATCAGACAAGGTACCGCGGGGAGAACCACAAGTATTTAAAGATGGCAGCAGTGTCCGCCATAAGCTGCTTAAGGACTCGTTACTTCCCGACTTTATGTTTTCTCCTCTAAATGTTTCCATATCCGTTATTTTCGGTTTAAGATGAAATATCACTGCAGAGAATTAAAGCATTGTCTTATTGAGTTTCCCATTAAATGTCACGGAAAGAAGACAGGGAACGCTCCTGAAGTTCTCACGGAGGAAGAAGTCCTCTCCGTTATGAATTGGACCTGGACAGAGAAGCACAAAGTTCTGCTCCCTTTCGGAGAACATCATAGTCAGGCTTCTCTTCTATGCCACTCCAAACTTTTATGGATGAATGGTAAATGGACTGCATTTACATAGCGCTTTTCTACTCCCACGAGTACTCAAAGTGCTTTACAACTCATGCCTCACATTCACCATCCACACTCACACTGACACACCGGGGGCGGAGGCTGCCATGAGGCGCCAACCTGCACACCGGGAGCAATTTGGGGTTCAGTGTCTTACTCAAGGACACTTTGATGGGGTCAGGAGGAACCAGGGCTCGAACCTGCAACCCTCCAGTTGCCGAAAAATAGCACTACCTCCTGGGCCACCATCTTGAAGCACAACTGCGGTTTAAAACGGACACAGGAGACGTTTTTACATATAATGTCACAAATGCACAGGGTGGCACCCTTTATTTCACACTATTACAACAGCTGCAACAGCCTTAAAGCGCCAAACCCAACACCTGGCAGCTTCTGCTTAGTCTGTCTGTCCTTTTATAATCCAAAGGTCTAGACAAAAAAGCTACAAATATTGAAAAGACCATTGAAAAGATCATTGATCAGGAAGTAGGACGATCCCCACGCCAAGCCGGTCTCAGACTGCATTTTCATGTGCTGTTAGGTGGTGTTCACTTTACCTACACGCTCCATCCAAATGTGCGGATTCACAGGAAGCTTGTAGCTGTTATCAGGTTTAGGAAGAATTGGGTAGTAATCAATTACTATATATTAGGGGTACTCAAATGGCGTACTGGGATCCGTATTCTGACTGAAACACAATGCAATGCAGACCGTGCAATTGCACTACCCCCACCCCCGGTCGGCAAAAATTGCTGAGGGGGACCTGCCCCCCCGTGGACCTGTGGCTCATGATATAGATTATGCATTTATCTTGAGAGTAGAACTTCTACTTAGTGGGAGATTAAGTTGTTGGACAGCAGTTATTTTGAAGTTGCAGAGCCATCATACAGACTGAAACATAAGCACATCGATGTTCTCACGCTCTCATCATCGATGTTCTCACGCTCTCGTGCTGCTCACCTGGGCTTTTTGCTGGATGCATGGACCTTGGGCGACTGTCCGAATTCATCGTAGCACCTGAGCGTGAAACTGAGACGGGTGTTTTCTGTCCAGAGGGCGCGTTATGCTTGACGACCCGAACCTTCCAGGCTCATGGTGATCCTAATATTGGAATTGTGTTGGCATTTACCACTGCCGAAGTTCTGGTCAAGCTCCATCAAGGGGGGAATGATATAGCTGACTACACAGCTATGCAAATGAACAGAATTCAGCATTTAACTCCCCATGGGCACAGACTTTGCATCTAGCATTACTGATGCCTGTACGCTTCACCAACTGGGTGTCAGCTGTGTGTCGCAATTGGTAATTGTCATTAACAGTGCACACATAACTAGGGTGACCAGATAATCCATGTCAGGGAGACACTTTGAGCTACTTCGGGTTTTACAAACTACTTTCAAACTGAAAGGCTCCTGTGCTCGGCTAAATAGTTCAGCTCTTCTTGTGCTTTGACTGGTTTGTTTCCTTGACTGAAAGACTCATCCAGCTGTTTCACATTAGCATTAGTGACACATGCATGATTATAGGAGACTGACCAATCAGCACACAGCAAGAGCTCAGTGCTCAAGTGAAATCCAGGTCCTTTTAACTGAAATGGTAATTTACAATTCCTGTCCTAGCTCAGAGTGTCCTCCCTGACGTGGATTATCTGGTCACCCTAACATAACACAATTACTTAAAATCATATAAATATATATGACATCACAGTGGAAAACACTGCCAGCCAATCATGTCGTCTTATTAACTATCCCTCTGCTGTTTAGAAGTAGCACATAAAATAACATTATAAAACTGCTAATTCCTTTGAATGAAACTGCGATCTCAGACCCGGTACAAATGTTTTTATTGCTTAAACCCACAGACTTCCACACGGATAGAATAATGTATGACAAAAAAAAAGCACAACATAATTTAAACACAAATACAATCATTAATTTCCCCTTCATGATCACTAATAATCAAACATGTACAATTATAACCACTATTTACATAAAGACAGATCAAGATGTTTATGGAGAAAGACGCATAATCAGCCATAAATAATAAAGGAAATTAATCTCAACTCTATATAAAAACTGAGTGCAGGTTGTGCATAACAAAGGAGGTTTAAAATCCCGACGGTTAGTCATATTCATGTCAGAAACTGGGGGATTCAGGAACGCCACCTGATCCAAGGGGAAGCAGCATCTCACACCAGTATGGACAACATGGGGGGAAGACAGACGAACAGAAACAAATAAATAAGCAAACGAAAGAACAAACGAAAAACTGCTACAAAACGACACCAGGACCTTCCACACTTATATTCACAATCGCAGAGATTCTTACTTATAAATCAGGCGACTGTTGCCAGTTCAGTTCATTCAAGTGGTAACAAATTCATTACGAACGAAAAACCAAAATCACCAATTAGAAAACGTTCCTTTGGTTTAATATTTCAAATAAACGGACATAAGGATGACTAACGCATTAATGGGAGTGGGGAAACCTCCAACATTGTAAAAGAGGGGAGAAGAGAGGAGATGCAAACCACATCCGAGCGGACAGAGCTTTTTAACGGTCAGCAGAAGGAGCCGTCGTTTCCGCCTAACCCGCGAGGCACGTCCACAGCGTGTCCAAGTTCTGGATCTCCAACTTGGGAACCTGGCTATTAGTTCACCGCACTGTGGAGCATCAGCTTGAGGTTGGGGGGGGTTTAAGCAGAATTTTTTTTTTAACCTTGCATCTTTGTTTGCTGTGCAGTTTTACAGTCAATCCTGGCCAATTCTTCTGACACACACACATAAACACACACCCACACCCTAGACTAACAGAATGGTTGGGAACCTGCAGTTCAGCCTTAATTGTTTGATTTGGAATGAGTCAACCTTGACACATCTGAAGTTACCGGCCATAATAGTGCGACATTTGATTGGCTTGATCGCACATACAAACATGACCGATTAGAGCCCCGACAGGACCCAAAGGGCTACTGGGCGTGACATCTCCGCGAAGGACAGCAAACTGGTCCCACATTGGATTACCCATTATAATCCACTCTAAATTATGCTGCACCTTCAGACAGAGTGCTGGAGATCATTCTTGCAGACGCTCATGCTTGGCACATTTCAGGAAGATCACAGCACTAAAATAGTTGTAGTCAGATTATCCCTGTCTATATTCCCACAGGTTTTTTTTTTTATATCCAACATCTGATGATTCTCGGAACAACTATCTTTAAAGTACTTCAAAATAGCACTTTGTGAAAATAAAAAGGTCAAAGCAACTAACAACAGACACTCACTCAGATATTTAAAATTCAGGACGGATAAAAAAAACCACAGTGCCCCTTATTTTCAGAGTTCTGTTTCAGGGATTCTTCTTCCGCAAAGACATTCCACGCGACACACGTTAGATATCAGCGTCCGGTCAGTGACACAGCACAGACATGTCCTCAAAGTCAGGAAGCTGCTGTAGGATTTCCTAGAGACACTGTGCAAAACCGACATTTATATATCGAGATTACGCAAGATTACGAAAGTTAGTAGTGTCGCTGTTATTCTGCATAAGAACACAAAGGGGACCCAGGAAGTACCTGCTCTAGTAGACGGTGAGGATATTGTATAGATAGTACATTCTATTCCTCTAATTCTACATCCCGAAGGTCTTATGCGAGGAACAGTAAGGAAACCTTTAAGGCAGGAAATACCATCTCTTTCCACTGGACCAGGCTAAATGAGAATGTCCCGTCGTGCAATTGTTTTTTTTGGGTATCAAAGGATTAAAGAACATTCGGTATCCCTCAGAATATTGATTTGCAGAAAAAGAGGGGTAGAAAAGTAAATGCATAAAATCCTGCAGGCATCTGACCCCCCCCCCCGAGAGCAGCTCTAGAAGAAAATCACGTCCTCCTTGGGGGGGTGGCCAGCAAGCTGCTGAGGCGGTGGGCCAGGGGGCAGAGAGTTGGCATCCAGGTCCAGAATGCTGGCTGGATCTGCAGTGAGGAGAGGGGGGGTTCACACGGTTATATGGCAGTGGGGGCAGGTTGCTGGCGGCCTGGGGGTGGGCAGGTGTTTTACCTGTGTGATGTGGCTGTGGTGGAGTGACGGGCCCCTTGGATTTCGGAACCCCCTCCTCCTTTGCCGACTGCTTGACAGGTGGTGCCTGCTTTGTGTCTGCGGACGCTGTATGGGGGGAGGGGGCAGTATGCATATGACAGTTTAAGCCTTTTAGCATTTAGCACACACCTCTCCAAAATGCTGGCTCAGCCATCGCCCCTGAAGCAAATGGGGTTAAGGGCTTTGCTCAAGGGCCGAATGGTGACATCACTCTACCAGTCATGGGATCTGAACCAGTGACCTTCTGATCATGGTTACATAATCCTAACCCACAGTGTCACGCACTGCTAGTAGCAATATATACAGTATATATACTGGCAGGCATTTTCTCAAACGCAGTGCCCGAAATGCAGTGATGTCAGGTCATTCAGAAGAGGGCTGTAAGGATCACCCTCAGAGCTACTGGGAGAGAAGTCATGCTTCCACATGCTTCATTTTTCGAATATTGAAGATGTATAAAGAAATTAAGTCATTCTAGTTCCAAACAAGGCCGATCGCCCATTTAAGACGAGCGCACGAGAGAACAAGATGTAACGAGAAACTCTCTGTAGCGGATCAGTTCAACACCGCAGCTAGAACTGGTTACCAATTCAGTCCTGGACAGAGCAAGAATTTGTCTTGACAGGGTCTCGTCATCTGGGACAATATGGACCGAAAGCCCATGTCGCCGCAACCGAGTCACTCACGGCGAATGAGAAAAGCCCTTTGCTGACAGAATGTTGCATGGACGGAGGAGAACCGGCCCAAAGTCCACTGCAGTAATGAAAAAAGTTTAATTTCAAATTTCTTGCTTATACCTTTTATTTTGTGATGTGCAATAGTTTTCACTGATATGATTAAAATACATCAGTTCTCGTTAAAATAACTGAATTCGGATAGGCAGCGACTTTGTAAATTACAAAAATGTCACTCATCCTAATTTTGATTGCTACTGTATAATAAATGTAATAATGAATATTATTATTAATAATAATAATAATAATAATCATTTCATCATCCATCTTTCATACCCAGTTATCCTACGCAGGGTTGAAGGGGTCTGGAGCCTATCCTGGAAGTTAGGGGCGCAAGGCAGGGAACAACCCAGGTCGGGATGCCAACCTATTGGCGCAATTTTTAAAATAATAATAATAATAATAATAATAATATTCATCAAATCAAATCATGGTCTATGGGAGCTAAAGCACATGTACAGGAGGAGACCCTGCTTCCAAAGGCCGCCCCGAGCCCCCCCGAGCCCCCCGGGCCCCCCGGGCTGCTGACCCATGCTGTCGCTGCGCTGGGAGCCCTTGCCCTTCCCGCTCTTCTCCTTGCCCTTGCTGAGGGCGGCCAGCTTGGTGGGGATCTGCTGGGGCACGCCGCGCTGCTGCAGCTGCTGGTTGGTGGTGCTGATCAGGTGGATGGGCACTTCCGCCTTCCCCATGACGGAGGTGCTGCTGTCTCGCCGCAGGAGGGTCTCGAGCCTCTCGGGGAGGTCAGGGTGCGCGACCGAGGGGCCGCGCAGGGGGACTGGCTCGTTCATGGTGCCGCTGACCCCGTTGAAACTCAGGGAGGATTCCTGGAGTCGGGGGGGGGCAGCATTAAGGTACGAACCACGCTGACATTGGAGGGGGGAATACAGCACAGTACTTGAGTCAGCCAGCCTGGTCACGTGACTGATTTCATTTCACTTCCTTGAATTATCAAGGGGATTATGCCTGAATGCCATAAGCAGAACCCGCATGTGGCGGCACCGCGATCCAGCTGGTGACCGGGCGCAAGACGGGAGGCCTCGTCACAGCGGCTGCAAGGGAGTGTGGGAATGACTAGGGGGGTGGGGGCAGGGGGGGTCCACAGCGACACAACAATACCTTCCATCTATGTGCATGACCTGCCTTCACAAGGGACATGCCCTACAGCAAAGAGCACCGCCCTGCTGACGGATTCCGGAAGTTACTAAGCAGAGAGTCTGATGATGGTGCCAGGGAGACTCACTGGGGGCCTGTGGCTCCGCTGCCGCTTCTGCTGCCGCTCCATCCACTCCCTCTCCTTCTCCACGGCGGCACTGGACTCGCGGAGCCGCTCCAGGTCCTGCCGGTACTTGTCGCGCTGGAGCTCCAGCTCGCGGTGCTCCTCAGCCAGCCGCTCCTCCAGCGCGCGGCACGCCTCCTCACGCCGGCGCAGGTGCCCGCCGCTTTCCTCCACCTCGCGCTGCTCCCGCTGCCTCTCCCGCTGCCAGCGTGCCTGCTCCTGCTGGTGCTGGCTCTGCAGCCGCCGCAGGTCCGCCAGCTCCTCCCGCTGCTTCTCCTGCTCCAGCGGCGTGCCCCCACGCGGTCGACCCGACTGCTCGCGGTTCGCCAGAGTTGCCCTCTGCTGGCCAACTTGACCATCCTGCTGGGAGATGATGGCCTGGAGGGTGGGCACAGGGGGTTCTGAGCACAGCAGAAGGCAGCGGCACATGCCAACACACAGTACCCACACTGCCGACCCAACAGGAACAGGAAACGGGTGATACCTGCAGGCTGTACAGCCGCTGGGACAGCATCAGCACTCGGTCAAGAAACTAGGAAAAGGGGAGCGAGAAAGTGTCAGTACAGGCAAGCTGTCAGACATCCACCAGCAACAGCACGAGGACGCAGGGATAAGGAGCACGCTGTCTGCTGCAGGTCGACAGAGAGCGCCGGGCACTGACAGGAAGTAAAGCAATCAAGCTTCATTTTTAAAGCACAGATTTGTGAAATCTTATGTCCCAGAGTGTATGTTTGACTCCATTCAGGAACAGTCGCGTTGCCCACAAACCATAAAAACGTTATCAGTATGAAGCTTTACCTTACTAAATGATTCCAGGCAAAGGTCTGCTTGGTGTCATGTATTTACAACATGGAAATTGATGTGTTAATTTTATGTATTTGTCTACATTCAAGCCAAGACTTTACATGAAGTTACACGAAACAGAGTTTGCCTATGCTCTGAGGCATTTTGTTTGCCAATGTGGAATTGCTCTACTATTAATCATTGACTATTTGTTAAGTGAGAGGGCATTCACTAAGGTGAGGAAGAGGAGGCTAAGACCCTCACCTCTGTTTCAGGAAATGAATTCGAGCACCTGGTGTCGCCGTTTCCCAGAGGGCCTCCCACAGCCTGCAGGTGGAAAAACTGGATGAAGCTTAATTCAGCAAAAACACTGTGGCACGCAGGGCTCAGCGACAGCGCCGAGACTCCCTAAACAGGCAGGAAAAGGCCGGAAACCGGGCCGTTTAGCACGCCGGGGCAGCAGGCTGTGTAATGATATCAGCAGAACTGAGGAACCGGGAGATATGGGGAAACGTTTATCAGCATAGAAGAGAAGCACAGAGTAACCGTCAGGTAAACAGAAACGGTCGTCCTGGAAACGCTGCAGGGTGTGGGAGTGTGACAAGGAACTTCCTGCTGTGGGGGGGGGGACCCACCGACTGCTGGCTGTCTCCCGTCTCCCTCAGCTGGGGGTCGGACCGGGCCCTCTGGCTTCTGTCCCTCGACCTGCTCTCCTGCCCAGCAGCCGCCTTCCTCATGCTGCCCGCTGCGTGGTGGGGTGGGGGGGGGGACAGGACAGGAGATACAGTAATTCCCCTGCAGCCCCAGAGGCAGAGAGCGACAGCGTTCAGCACGTGGCACGAGATGGTCCCCCGTCTTACTTTTGCAGAGGGAGGTGGGAAGGCTGTCGTAGCTCCCCGAGGTCTCTGCTCTGCAGGGCAACCCCCCAGGACTCTGGCTGCGCTCTGACTCCAGAGGAGTCTCTCTCCTGCCCGACAGGAGCAGCTCCTGTAGGCTCTCAGCTGGAAGAGAGCAGGGAGCCCTATAATCAGAGCTCAGGTCTTTCTGCGGACGACCTGCCCCCGTGGCTCCATTGCGCCGTTAGATTTGTAATTCAAACAAGCAGGTTTAAAATACCATAAGCACACTTTATACAAACCTGTGAGAAATGGCTGATGTGTGCCTGCCGTCATCAGAGGAAGCCAAATTATATAAAAAGCTTAGTTCCGGATTTGCTTGACTTACCTTCAGTAATGGCATCCTTCAGCAGGTTCTCCCCCTGCTGGAGATCTGAGGAATCACCTCGCAGCAGTAAGCGAGTGCGAGAGCCTGTCGGCACGCCGGCGGAAAACTCAGCCAAGTCTGCGAAGATCTGCAGCTTCCCATTCAGGCTCTGCATGATCTGGGCGTCCTTCAGGCTCAGGCGCTCTGATTAGACAAGAAAAACGCGCATAATTTCGGGGGAGGAAAGACGAAACGCGCCATGAGGCCACCAGTACTGCCGCATCATTATGTGATTACGGCAAACCCGAGAGCTCCAATCACCGATGAGGCCAGACTTAATTATGAGAACAGAAAGCAGGATGGGAACTTTAGAGCATCTCCCAGACATTCCCAAGAATATTTTAATGGCCCCAAAGGTTCTACAAAGACAAGACAGACATTATTAACATTCCTAACATGCATGGTTAGCAGCTTCTAAACCTTCTTTTGGCCCTGGCTGGTAAGAGCTATGCAGATACAGAGGAGGAGACAGAGGAGACACCACTAGCCCCCCCCGACAACCCCCACATGGCCCCCCCCCGCCAGCTCCTACCCTGGAGTTCCTTCAATCTGTTGAGCCGCTCATCCTCCTGCTCAACAAAGGACTCTTCCCCCACGTGTGGGCAACTATAAGGGGGGGGGGGAAGCAAACAAACAGGGCTGTTAGAGGAACTGGACGCCCCCCCCCAAAGCATGGGGAGTTGCCACAGCGACCCTGGCGACCCCAGGGCCCGCGTACTTCTCCACGGCCTGCCGGATAGCCCCCATCCACAGGTTCCGCTCCTCTTTGGAGGCCGTGTGGATCTCGTACATCTCCGGCTCGTTGGAGGAGGCGCAGATGAGGAACATGCCTTTCTCCTCATGGGCCACCTCCCGCACGATCAGCTTCTGCAGGGAGATCACCGAGGGCTTGTTGTCCTGGGGGGGGACAGAGAGGCAGGCGTGAGGTTCGTTCAGGGAGCCGCTCGCAAGGTTCCGGGCCCAAGGCGCCGTCTGCCACACCCACCACAGTGGAGAAAGTGTACTTCTGATCCTTCTCTTGTAGGAGCAGAAGGACATCGGTCAGCAACACAGCAAGGGTCTCTGAAAACGACGCAGGAAAACCATCACCAACTCCGTCAAGCAGCACAGGCCACTGACATCATGCATCGGGGCAAATCTAAAGCCTCTAGAGGTCTCTGCCAGAAAGACGGAGAAAACGCTCAACGCGCCGTGCGGCACCTTTCAGCCTGCCGGAGGCGGCCTTCCAGGTGACGGTGCCCTCGTGCAGCAGCTTGCGGCCGCCTCGGCCCAGGTCCTCTCTGCTCAGCCCGCGGCCATCCTTCACCTTGCCCACGGACTTGGGCTCTATCTTGCTGCCGATCTCCTTCAGACGCGTGGCCTTCTCATAGTCGTTGACTTGGGCATCCACCTGCGTGATGGCGGCTCGGATCAGCGCCAGCCCCTCCGCCAGTTCCCTGTGCTCCTCAGTGCCCGCTGGGTGGGGCGCGCCGCAGCCCCAGTGATAATCCCTGTCACGTTTCATTGGCATGGGGGGGTGGGTGCCCGCTGGGGGGGGGGGGGGGGGGGGGAATGACATGAACCTCGTGTTAAACTCCTATTTTAAATGTCCATTCATAGTAACGGGATAAAGAACAATGTCTGCAGTCTAAAAATACCTGAGCGGTCGATTTAAAAATTGCAACTCTGAGTAAAGTAACAAATATCATCTGTCTCACCTTAAGGTGGAAAGACAAAAATAATATCACAAAAAAAACAAGGATACAATTCTGCCTTGTATTAATAAAATTATTTCAGTTTGCATTAAATTATAGGCAGGTAATTTTGGTGATTGTTTGTTCATCACTGCATTGTTAATGATGCTCCAAACATGGTGGGCAGAGGCACCCAGTACCGGCAGTGTTCTGCAGGATCCGCTCCATCAGCACAGGGTACTTAGTGATGCGCTGAGTTACCAGCAGGATACATTCCTGCACGCCCTGCCTCTTCACGATGGGCAGGTTGCTGATTTTCTGAAATACATCATAAAAAAAAAAAGAAGAAATCCTTTAAGAAAAAGTCTGACATGTTTGCGACAAGCTACACTTCAGCAAACTCTATTAAGATACAAACTGTGGTGTATGTAGGGCAGTGAAAGGCAGGGGGTCTCATCCTCACCCGTATGAGGGTCTGAAACTTCTTGTTGTTCTGAAGCTGGTCTTTGTAATAGCTGACAGCCTCTGTGTGCCGGCAGCAGAAGCCGCCGTAGCCGTCCTTCAACCGCTCACCCATGGTCCCGGAAAACTGCATGGAAAACGGACAGTCTCAGTCCATATCTATGGGCATATCCCTAATCCCAACCATGACCTAACCTTAAACTATAAGACGAACCAAACAAAATACAAGACTTTTGGCATGTTTCATTTTTTGATTGCAGTCACAGGTAATTTAAAAAAAATTATCCTTGTTGGGACCAAAAGAGTTACAGATTTTTATTACATTGTGGGGAAATCAGGTCCCCACAATGTAATAATTACAAATACACACACCTGTTATCAGCTCATTATCAGTGTATTAACCGTGTATGGAATTATATGGGGAGACGTTATTGTGAAATGGTTGGAAAACCTTTCAGTAGCACAGATTACGCACCAGGAAAAAGACCCTCCTCTATTAAGTGACCGTTCTCTGACTGATGTAGACGCCTCATGGGTGTGGTCTTACTCATCTGCAGTCCTACACATTTCAAAGACAATGCTGCAGTTCCTGGAGGAAACTCCTCTGACTATAAAGAAATCTGGCTCACTCCGAAATCACCAGCCCGTCCAGAGGAGCAACACCACGTCACTTCTATGTAACTAACCGGCAGACTTCATTCTTAGTCTGGTTAGAACTGGCCGCATCTCAGAAATAAAGGAGCAACGTGACAGTGAATAACTAAATGAAAAAGGATAATGACAACGATACAGCATGGGCAGAAAATGAAGTCACAAATAAATGGTGTTGCCTTTCATCCAGGAATGCGGACAATTCCACCAGGAAGAATAAGCACATGCTACTGGCATTTCATGCTGGACTGTCAATCCTGTCCACCGCATTCTCAGTTTCCGGATGTTTGTTATGAAGAGAACCACCAATTTATAATACAAGAAGGAACTGAAACTGAATACCCAGAGTGCACCTGGGTCCCCAGCTCAGCACCCCTGACCAGGCTACGTCGGGTTAACCACGCTGCTACGGACAGAATGTGACAGCTCTGTTTGCACACAAAGCCCCAGATGAACTGGGAGAGGGTCTGCTCCATCACCTTTTCATCCACGGTGAGGTAAAGCTGATGGCCCCTAGGTGTGATTTGACGCAGGCTTCCTTTACAATGCGACAATGCTGGACACTGAGCTGCATTATTCCTTTCAGTGACAATCGAAGCAAACACTTTCGATCCTAATGAGTGTGACTGTGCTGCAGGCTTTGCTGATGTGTCCGGGAACATCAGCTCGCCCAACCCAGATCTCGAGAATCCGGGAAGTCTGACTGGCAGGGACAGCCCCCCCCCCGACCAGGGCTGAGGAAGGCAGATCAGGCCACCAGCAGAGGCAGCGAGAGCACTCTGCACTTACCTGCGAGGCGATGATGTCTCCAATGCGCTGGATGCAGTAGTTGCGCTCGCTGTCAGGCTCCAGCGACTCGCGCCTTCGGTCCTTGAGGAGGGACAGGAAGTTCCGGTGGACCTCCAGCAGGTGCTCCAGACGGGGAAAGACCCGCTCCACCTGCACCGTCTCCCGCATCTTGTGCGCGTACACCCACAGCATGATTTTCAGGGTTCGAACGTGGTGAATCTCCGTCTGGATCAACTCTGCGAAAGCATGGGACTCCTGTAGCTCAGCAAGTTAAGCACCGACAACGTGAAGGGTTGTGGGTTCGAATGCCAGGGAGCATTCGTTCATTGACCTTTATTTCACCAGGCAAAGCATTAAGAACAGTTATTTACAATGACAGCCTGGCAAATTGTAGGTCACAGCCATATTGGAGCTGCATCATCCTACCAAGCCTTACCATTCATGTGAATACTTGGAAATTGCTTAAAACAGCCTGTGATTAGCACGGTGGCTATTCACTGCCATAATGTGACCGTAAAATGAAGATGACCAATCAGAGAGAGGCTCCAGACAGCAGGTGACCTACCGTATATCACATCCTGTCTCTTAGTGGCTTCCTTTGAGTGGTTCTTTGCGTACTGCGGGTCGACAGCCAGGCTCCAGGACTCCACCTCAAAGTCCTGGGCATCGAACTCCAATTCGGCTTGCACTGATAAGTAATGTGCATCTACGGTGAAAGCAAAGCGAGGAGTGAGCGGTGCGGCTCGATGTCAGTGAGCATGTAGCTTATTCAGTGGGGGTGTTCAGTCCACCACAGATGCGAGTCCCTCTCTAGAACTGACACCCAGCTCTGACACGGTCACCAGATCAGCATGCAGTAAAGAGCAGTCCCAACTGTCTATAGCGGCCAGTGTGTCACGCATGTACATTGCTGTGTATGACGCGGCACGGCTGTTACAGAGTCAGCCTGGCTCTGCACACACGAGGCCCATCTCTGCTGTTCACTCAAGTGGGAAATCTAAACCAATCTCAGGTATGTAAATAGAAAGCGTTCAAGTCTATCAGTCTTTCGGCAAAAGTTACTATTCAAAACAGCAGCTGTCAGCTCACCTGAGCAGGTCCAAATAAATATCTACATCAACGAAAGTAACTGCTGAGCCTCCAAACAAAGCCAGTTTCACTGTCAGCCATTTGGGGAGCCACACACAGGAAACACGCAAGCAGCGCACCTTCCAGAACGATGGCCTCTGCAGAAGAGGAGAGCTGGGAGGCCGAGTCATCCGTGACAGGCTTCAACTTCGCCACGTCGGGCTCCTCCATCTCCCCAGGGATGGATCTGAAAGGGAACGGAGGGAGACGGGCCTCTCAGTCCACGGAAGAAAGAGCGACCAAAACACAGACCTTTACTCAGAAACAAATCACAGATTAGCAGCATCTCTCATGTCACCAGAAAGGGCAGCTACCACGATAAAGTACTCAGGGTAGGGAGAGAGAGAGGGGGAGGGAGAGAGGGGGAGGGAGACCCACCCTGAGGTGCTGCTGTGGGCGAGGTCGGGGCTGCGGGCGGCGGCGGGCCGGCGGCTCTGTCCTCGCGGGGCGACGGTCATGCCAGGGGGGCCGCCTCCGGCTACAGCAGACTCCCTCAGCGCTGCGGAGAGGAAGAGGCGGTCAGAGCGGCTCCGCAGTCGCAAGAGGTGCAGCAAGCGCAGGAATCTATGCGTGAGCAGGTCGCGGTGCAGCAGGACTCGCACGCCCAGCCGCTGGCCGAGGCTGAGCATGGCCGGCCGGGACCATCCCTCCCCCCGCGGGCGTTCCCGACCCCCCCACACGGCCAGCTCCATCGAGGCTGACGGCTGCACCTGGAGGCAACGCAGTCCCGCTTTATACCACACGCCAACCACTCCCTCTCTCTCTCTCTCTCTCTCCCTCACTCTCTCAATCACTGCCTCCCCATGTGAAATGGCGAGCCGTCGTCATGGCTACCAGGGGGATGGACACACTCCAGCTATACTGGTGTGCCTCAGACTCTCACCCCCAGTTCCCAGTTATCAGCTTCCCACTTCCCTGGATCTGATATATCGAGATACGGCCGCGCGACGCTCTTTAACGGCGGCAGATTTAAACACTCAGCCCCGCTACTGCGACGTGGTGGCAGAATAAGGGTTTCTAGTAAAATCATATATTAATCCTGCTAAGCATCAGACTTTTGCATGTACAAACACGTGAGCTGCCACTGTTAATTACCAAATAAGGCTGTGATGTAAATTTTCATCAGTACTGCGCCAAAACGGAAAAAACTGTGATGTGTCAACTGCATGAGCATAACATGCGACATTAATATTGACACGGCAGGCCTCACATACATCATCACGTGATCGTAGTTCTGCAGCTCATCTTACAAAGCAGGCGAGCCGAACAGGCTGTGCTCCAGTGTCCATAGCGTGGATTTACCACCACACGACACCTCCAGCACTTACAAAACTTCTGGCTGCGTCGGAAAGTTTCTAAGCTCCCCTCACTCCCAGGGTGCCTGCAAAGCAATTAGCATCTCCCGAGATCCCGCTGAAGGTCTCCGAGGTGTCGGCCAGCGTCCTCTTCCTGACACGGCAGGGATCCGCTTTGCTTATCGCACTGCCTAGCGGGTGCCGAGCGCAGTGACGTCGGCTCGAAGCGCCCAGAAAGTGCACGGCTGAGGGGTGGAGCAACCAGAAAGATCACCAGCCCACGGCACTTAGCGGCGATTATGAGAAGCACCGAATGATGCTGGCTGCCGGCTCTGCCAGCGCAGAACCAGCAATGATACAGGAAGCGTCGTATTCGTGGCTGAGCAGCCCTGCCTGGGAAATAAAAGTCCTAGAGAGAACAGTAATTCAGCCTATTTGCAGGAAAACATCTTTTAACAGGTGACTTATATAATCTCAACAAAAAATAAATAAATAAATCTGAAGAACACCGCAAAAACATTTTCTTTAGAAACTAAATCAACAACCTGCATTATAGGAGGGGGGGAACACCCCCCCAGACATGTGAACACAGCTGGGGATGTCGCTAATCCTTCCACATGAGCCCAGAATCTGCCACCAGCACAACAAGGCCCCGCTGGCTTTAATTTGCAGCCCGGGGACCAATATTACATTACATTACATTCGGCAGGCTCAGAAACAAGCAGCTCGGTTTGATAATCGATGATTCCTTATGGCCTGTGGAGTACAGGGGCGTCCCTGTGGCTTATAATGAGCCTCTGCTCAGACCAGAAGGTCTCTGCGACGCGGCCAGAGACCCAAAGCTCAAAGAGGAGTGAAGGGGAGCCAGGCTGTGCTGATTAAAGCCCAGCCAGCCGGCTGATGTGCGTCATCCTCGGAGCTTCTGTCACCCACCTAGGTTGTAGTACTGCACTCGACTCCACACCTTCCCACTGCTCTGGGTCGGAGGCTCTTTAAACTGCAGAAAGAAAAGCACAGCATTACATCCATATGGTTCCCTTCATCCACCCTTATATCCATCCAGCACAGGGTTACAGACAGCTTGTAGCCCGTCTTAGGCAGCATATAGCGAGGGAGGGAGGGAGGGAGGGAGGGAGACAGAGACAGACAGATGTGTGTAAAGTAAATTTTACAACTTAAAAATTTTACAACACTTAACCAGTGAGTTCTCATGCATGCATGTACGTGTACATGCGCGCGCACACGCACGCACGCACGCACGCACGCACGCACGCACACACGCACACACGCACCAGGATTGCTCTGTTTGCACATCTGTCTGATCACTTGTCTTTCAGAACTGAGTGAGCGTGGCGTGCTGTTGTGAAGGTGCCACAGCTAATCGCTTGCTATTGCTAATCACTGGCAATTTCTCAAATGATGGATGTTAAAGATCAGACAGGGCTGATAAAGTCAGACTGCTTGAACAGTTCAATATGCTATTTATTATTTTCTTCTTTAAATGTCAGTAATTAATTTATAGGAATAATAAGACTTGAAGTGTAGCACATTTATCAAAGTCCCACCAGAACAAAGACAAAATGGCCTGGTCTTGGGCATAAAATTCTCAGGCTGAAGTTTAGTCCTGGGATTCGGGCCAGGAGGTGTGAGGAAGCAACCCTGCCAACCCTGCCAACCCTGCCAGCCCTACCAGCCCTGCCAGCCCTACCAACCCTGCCAACCCTGCCAACCCTGCCAACCCTGCCCACTGACCCACCAAGGCACCTCCACCTTAGCTTCCCAAAGGGCCACTTCCTGTTCAGCTACAGCTGTTAGCCAAGGTTATGCAAAACAATCACAACACAAAGTAAACAGAATGCTTTTGATATCATTAATTTGGAGATTTAGAATGTGCAGGTCAGACAAAACCCACAGTGGCATTTGTCATGCTGCCACCAAAAGCAGGGTGACTGGAGTGACATCCTCGCGAGGGTCTCGGACAAGCTGACTGTTATCCAGACATCGATACACTGACCATTCCCGACAGAATCCCATGTGATTTTACAGAAACTACTGCTATTTTCAAAACTATTAAATCTCATCACATTTGCTCACTCCTTCCGGTGAGGGTTGCCGTTATTATCAGAATTATTTGCACTTGACAAAGATTTTCATGCATCTTCCAGGGCAGCTCTGGATAACCCTCTAACACTTACACAGAGTGTGTTCAGCCAGGAGTATGAAAGATTAAACCTGGTTTCAGACAGATTACATGCCTTAGTGTTCAGCAGGTAAGCTGGTTGGTACCTTTAGAAGTGTGGTCTACAAGCTATTAAAAGGGATTTCAATGTATTTTATTCAAATGGGAAGTGTTTACTTCATCCATCAAGCGGTACTGATAATGACTGAGGTTGCTCTGGTACCTTCTGGTACCTTCCAGATGCAGAAAACACACACGCCCTTTTAAGGATTAAAACGGGGGGGGTTAGAGATGAAGCAGCAAATGAGATTTACACATACCCTGTTTCGGCTGCTGCACTCTGTGAGAAGACTCCTGCAGCCTCTGTGAACAGTGATGCCGCAGTCTGGGACAGAGATGGGAAAAATGGAGTGGTGAATTCACCCCGGAATTATGAGGATGAGAGAGAGAGTAGTCCAGGCAGTATTACCCGACAATTCAGCACATCATACACATGCAAAGTTCCAAGCGCCAGTAATAATAATGGCCACATTATGCTGTGGCAACAGCCCAGCTCCGGAGCACAGAGTGCCACAGGGGGCAGCGCAGAGCGTTCAGGCCGTCACTGCGTCACATCTGCAGTCACTGCGGGACATTCTCACTGCACACTGCCTCAGAAAGCAGGCAGCACCATGACAGGAACCAGTCACTCTGCACAGACACTAATCTCAGGCAGTTTATACTCCCAAGCCATACGGCTGCCCAACAGCTGCTAATTAACAGAGAAAAGGGCGAAGTAGAATGAACATGGTCTCTCCATCAGCATCACTGACACTGCATCAGCATCACTGACACCGCATCAGCATCACTGACACCGCATTAGCATCACTGACACCGCATCAGCATCACTGACACTGCATCAGCATCACTGACACCGCCACTTATTTCTGTCATATAACTATTTTGTGTTTTTTAGTGTTTGGTGATATAGATCAACAATGTTATTCATGAACCCTACTGTTACCACTGTCTGCTACTGCTGCTGCACGCTGTTACTCTCGTCAGCTAACGCTCAGTAGTCTGCGGGGGGCCGCGACACTGAACGTAAACCTTCATGCGTTCACAGAAAAAAACGTGAACTCGATGAAATACAGCCTACACAACACAGTCAACTGAACCAAGAGGAAAAGATACAAACAATGTATGGAAAATTTACACTCTTGTTTCTATAATCTCAGAGTTAGTGTTCAAAAACTAACAGCTTTCATACATCTTATAATCCGATAACAATAAAAATGAGTAAAACGACAAAGCCTGAAGGCAAAGATTGAACTTGATGGTTTACAAGTAATTTTAAAGGACTATAAAGTTTTTAAGGGCTATGATCAAAGTTTTACAATAGAACTAGCTAAGTAAGTTTCAGCTGGTGTAGTAACTGATGCTCAGTTATACCGGTATTACTTCATGAGATTCTATTAGAACCAAAACAAAACATTTACCAGATAACTGCAGATAATGAACAGAAGATACAATTCGAGAGACAGTAATTCATACTTTGTTTTTAAAGCAAATAATAGTATTTTTTAAGTTTTGCTAAATAATAACAGTGATATGCCACATTCGCTACTGCTAACATCAATATTTATCTTTATGAACTTTTCCACCGACCACGGTGAAGATTTCACTGCGCCATCCTACATCTGGGACCTGCTCCTTAAATGAAAGGAGGATGCTGGTACCACGTGACCTCCCTTGGGTGCACCTTCTCCGCTAAAAGGCGCCCTGGGGTGACGTATAGAGTTGCTTCCTTTCTTGATTTATGAAATGAAAGTCAGATCAGGTAACCCAAATATTCAACGTCCTGCTGCAAAAGTGGAGAGATACTCCTCAAATTCCCAGGCTTATTAAAATAAGAAACATTTAGTTTAGTTCACGAAGCCAAGGGAAGGAAAGCATAAAACGCAGTACTCGTACGTTTATATTATAAGCAAGAAGAGAACAGTCTGTCCTGAATACTAATGTCTTGATTTAAGCTCGTTTATCATAAATAACATTTGCTCTTGCAACAAAACGAACGGCAGAATCAGCTGACATTCGCCCGATTACCTTACAGTACTCATATTCTCCAAACTATACGGTCTTTAAAACACCTGATTTGAATAAACCAGTTATTCAAGACCAGTGTTATTTGGCAATTACAGTGCACGATTAAGATAACAACACTTGTCAAATCACGGAATTATAATAAACAGCTTCAAGTAGCTAAAACTGGAATAAAGTAAATTCAAGAATATTTATTCCCTCGGTCGACAAAAAAATGAGAGGGAATAAGAATAAATCCATCGATAAACGAAAATCAATAAAGCGGTATGACACGAGAGCTCCTTCGCAGCTGTCCACCCAGCCACCTGTCCACCCAGCCGTAAGATGTGTCACCTACTAGTTATCCACCTGTAACCTAGTGGACGATGGCGATGTTTTTAACGTGTTGCTGAGGTAGACACGTTTTTCCGAGTGAGCCGGGGGCTGGGAGCAGCGTCTTAGCGACCCCTCCATCAGGCAACGGAGATTTGCGGTTACTGTGACAGGCTGGGCCTGCATGTCAACACCGAGCCCCGCATTCGCTCCGGCGCTTCCGGACGGCCGCTTTCATCCAAAACACACCTGACCCCAAGCCCTTTTATCCCCCCCTCCCCTTGTAAGTTTTAATCCACTGGCTTGTTTACCGACGTTTCCCGGCGGAAGATCCGAAAGCGCAGAGATGACGGTCAGGGCTCGCGCGCCGCGTCCTCGCGGGGTATTATGGGATGAAATCACGGGCACCGCACCGCGCCGCGCCGCGCCGCGCATTCCAAAGGCTCATTCCCTCAGGCGCGGCTCCGCATTTAAAGGCACAGCCACTTTTAACTCCAGACCAGATATTAATAAGCTATTAGCTAGACAAAATATTACTCTCATACATATTGCACAGTACAGTACTGCCAAGTTACGGAAGCCATCCCAATTCCCACCGCATCCCGGACATATATCACAAATATTTTTGTTCCAACTCATCGATCACCTTTCCCTAAAACGTATAGTTGCACTGCTCCTAACGCCAGAGGGCAGTGTCTTTGAAACTCTTAAGTTTGTTTTTTTTCTTGATGGGGAATAAAAAAATAAGCAAAATCCATCCATCCATTTTTAAAATCAGTTGTCCTATTCATGGTTACGGGGGATCCAAAAGCAAAGGGCTCAAGACAGGGAATTGGGCACCAACCCAAACGGGAAGAACATGCAAACTCCACACACAGGGAACCCTGGCGGAGACCTGAACGTTGGTCCCTGAGGTGTGAGGCGACAGTGCTAAACACTGTTCCAGCATGCCATGCAGCTAGCAAAATATGCTTTATATAGTTTTAAAATACTGTTTTACATTTTAAGCTGCAGTATGATACTGAATATTTGCTCTTTTTTTGCAGTGACAGTTAAATTAGTATAGAAGCAAACAGTACCTGCTATGATTGTACGAGTTCAAGTTCTACATATAACGCTCCAGTTGGGAAGAAATGCTAATGTTTAACTTCACAGATAAAAATCACTTTGTGGTTCAGATGTGATAACGGTCCATGAAAAAAACCTACAAAAGCGCCTGTAAATCTGGTACTGTATCTGGCAGATCGTCCTCAAGTAAAAGTGTATTTTCTGAATTCATATAAATGCAGCCACGCTAATCTCCAAACAAAATAATCTCATGGCATCAGGGCGACTGTAAACAGACGGCAAATGTTGTGACATCTGCCCACAAGCTGAGAATGAAGACGTCATACACACTGCTAGTACCTTTTTGTAAGGAAACAGACGGATTAAACGATACGGAGCAAATAAAAGCATTTATAACGTGTTCAAATAGTTCAAATCAAATAGGGTCTAAATCTGCAAAAGGTCCAGGCATGATTAGCATGATTCCACGGTCTGAAGAGAGAATGTAAAACTTTTACTCAGACCAGAAAATATGCTGTCAAAGCATATTCCTCCATCTACCGCAACTTCTACAATTTCTGGAATTACTGAATGGATCAACTGGAAAAAACGTAGCATCACTTTCTCTTTCGCCCCATGACCAACATTTTCTGTGACTTGATAGTAAGAATTGTAGCAAATCTGTACATGCAGGAATTAAGGGCCACCTGCTGAGTAGGAACCAGTTAGGGTGAAATGGATCCTGCATTTTCAGTCACTGGCACTGCAATGCTAAAACAGAATTTTCAGCAGTATATAGCTCTGAGAGCATGGTCAAAAGTCTCCGTTTCTGGGGGCTGAAAACTCCGGGGTAGTGTGTGTTGTGTATCCCAAGAACTAATACCAAGACCTTGGCATCTGCAGGTGTTTATTAATTCAGTTTGTATCACCAACACAACACTTCACACACCTTGTACGCCGAGCCACCCGTTGCTGCTGCATGTATCCCATAAGGGAGTGTGCCTTCTTAAAGGGGCTCAACACATTTGGAGTGCAACCATATATAATACACAATCCACTTGTATTTTAAACAGATCATTTATCACAACGATCTACAGTGTGTACAAAAAGCGAAAACGGAGCTGCATTTTTAAATGAAAACGTAGCAGTGTTGATGTAGCCTTAGCTTTAAACAAACTTTCTTTTGGTGTTTTTCAGGACTACATCTGTTCAGTCCGCAATGCATGTATTTGCACAGGGTGTGTTGAGGAGTATAAAGACAAAGCTACCTTTCATCACAGTGCCTTTAAGGCTTTTGTGGTATTCTCCATGTCAGAGGTTTCCAGTAACATCAAAGAGGTGTGAACTTGAGGACTCCTCTGTAGACGAGTGAAACCGACTCCTGCTGGACTCCAAAGCCAGTTAATAACATGCTACATTGTATCCTCGCAGTCCATTCTATACTCATTGGCCAAAAATGTACTGAACAACACCTTGTTGGTGCATCACTCCATGACCCCTGTCTCCGAGCACCATTCGTCAGCGTTAAATAAATACAGCAGCATGCTGTAAGAGGAAGTGTATTAATGAATCTTATCACCGATACCACATTTGGATCCTGTGGCTCGCAGAGTGATCATATCTCTTTTGGACCCTTGAACAAGGCCGTTAAGCCCCCAAAAATAATGCAGAGGTGCTGCGTAGATGGCCAACTCTGATGCCAAGCCGCTGTATGTGTCTCAAAGGTGACAGAATTACCTGAAAACTAATAATAATAATTGATACTTTATTGATCCCTGTGGGGAAATTGTCTTTACACCTCCCTCAACTTGCTCTTTGTAGAGTAAGTTGTCCGCGAAGGGCAGCCACCTGTTGGGGCGCCCAGGGAGCTGGGGGTTAAGGGCCTTGCTCAAGGACCCGCAGACGTGCTGAGGCTGGGTTTGAACCAGCAACCTTCTGATTACAGGCACACAGGCTTAGCCCACTGGGTCAGAGCTGGGGGTTAAGGGCCTTGCTCAAGGACTCGCAGGTGTGCTGAGGCTGGGTTTGAACCAGCAACCTTCTGATTACAGGCACACAGGCTTAGCCGACTGGGTCACACACTGCCCCCTACAGTAAGTAATTCCTGTACTTCTACAAATGGCAGAATAAAATTTCATCATAAAATGTCAAAACTAGGTCCCTCCCTCTCTATATTGATGGTCCATTTACATTATTGTCATAGAAAGGTTAGGAAGTTTACATGCTGAACCTCCAATGCAAAAAGCAAAAATATTAGCCCTATGAATACTTCCCTGTTATTGTAAACTACGGTAATAAAACTGTAACAAGCCCTCAAACCTTCTCCTTTATGGGACAGGGAAGCACAGGTACAAGTTGAGGAGTGACTCAAAAGAGAAATAAAAAATTTCCCTGAAACCCACAGCACAGCACCAGATCACATGATCCCCAAACGTAAAAGTAACAGCAGTTTAGTGATAAGCTATCAGGATGAACAAAACTGAATATCAAAACAAAGAACACTTCTGGTTTTTTTGGTGAGTGAAGCATAGAAGCCAGAGGAGCAGTTAATGCAGGAAGACCCTGTTACCTCATTACCGTCCTCAGGGACGGATTACGGACCGGGCCAGCGGGGCCGGTTTTGCAACACTTATCAACAATGTATTTTCGTTTGTCTATTTTAGAGGGCCTACATTCTTTGATCCTCTGCCTACAAGGGCCTCTGACCCTATAGGGCCTCTGATGGAAACATGGAGGGAGGGCGTTTGGCTGCCAAGGGCCCTTGAGTTGTGGTGGTTGTGGTGGTTGTGGTGGTGGTTGTGGTGGTGGTGGTGGGGGAAAGGGGGGCCCCCGCGAACGTTTTGCCCAGGGTCCCACACAACCCATAATCCGTCCCTGACCGTCCCCTAGAGCAACGTTTCCCAGTCCAGTCCTTGGGGACCCGCAGACAGTCCACATTTTTGCTCCATCCCAGGTCGGAGTTGGGAGGGAGTAGAAACATATACTGTCCATGGATCCTTGAGGGCCAGGTTGGGAAACGCTGCTCCAGAAGCAGTCCAGGTGGAGGCAGAAGAATATCAAACAATTACAAAAGTGCCAAAAAATGAGGGTTGAGCTTATTATGTTTTAATAATAAAGGAAAATCAGCAGCATCTTGGTGCATCTTGTGCCAAAGTGCAGTAAATTACACTGACTGGAAAAGCAACAAGAAACCGTTTAGCCAATCTGTAAATTTAAGATGGCAGTTAAGGCCAATAAGGATTCGTCTTAAAATCTTTTGCACAAAATGTGTTTTAATAACAGACTAGACTATTTTAATATCAATATGTTCTTTCCCTTTGAACTGAAGTACCTTGTAAGGGCATGGATGCTAAAGACCAGGCACAAACACTGCAGTCATCTCAGCACTGAACCTAAATTAAGTTTAACATTTTTAAGCTGCACACTTAATATGAAATTACATCACCCAAAGCTGAGAACTGAGAGAAACAGTAGGTTTGGCAGGAAATTGTCTCATAACAGAAAACAGAGAATGTCCTTCCTTATTTTTTAAAGAAAAAGTCTCCCAATTTGCGCCCATAGAAGAAATCAAAGGTCCCCCTGTGAGCCGTGTGGAGAGGACAACCCAGTGGCAGGCTGCGGCACTGCATTCACTGTAAGCCTCACAGCCGTGTGAATAGCGCAGCCTGGTGGCGGACTGCGGCACTGTACTCACTGTGAGCCCCACAGTTAGGTACAGAGCGCGGCCCGGTGGAGGACTGCGGCACTGTACTCACTGTGAGCCCCACAGTTAGGTACAGAGTGCGGCCCGGTGGAGGACTGCGGCACTGTACTCACTGTGACACTGCAGCCCATCTCTCCTCTGCAGGGGTTTGTTGCACAGAGAGCAGGTCGCACCACTGGGGACAGTTGCTGGGACCAGCTGGTGCCCATTGCTGAATTCCTTCTCCTTAGAATCCTCTTCCTTGGAATGCTTCTCCTTTAGATCTTTCTCCTTGGAATGCTTCTCCTTTAGATCTTTCTCCTTGGAATGCTTCTCCTTTA